AAAAAAAAAAAAAAAAAAAAATAATTTTTATTATAGTAATATATTATTTGTAATAATTTAATACTATAATAATATATTATTTTATAATGATTTACTATATTTTGATTTATTATATTATAATAAAATATTAACTTATAATGATTTGCTATATTATAATTGTTTTAATTATAATATTAATTTATTATAATTTGTTATATTATAAATTGTTCATTATAATAATATATTGATTTGTAATAATTTATTATATTATAATTTATTAATTTGTAATAATTTGTATATTATTATTTATTTATTTATTTATTTTTTTTTTTAAAGTGCACTAGTGATAATTGTCTGGTTGAGTATTTATTCAATAACAATGTTTACATATATCTTTTGACATTACTATCTAGGATTATGCTATAATGTATCAGTTGTCAATTATACCCAACACTTATTGGAATTGCTCCAAATAATAACATTTGCTGTAGCTTGTTTCTAACTATATTAAGTATAGAGGCTAATCTACTAAACAAAAGTAATTCTTTATTAGATCAGTAGTATACATTTTTACTAGTAATTGGACAGCTTTATTTCTAACTGGAAAGAAATTAAGAGAAAGTTGAAAGGGGATACTAGGGATAATATTTATGGCAAATAAAGCTATATGATTACTGCTTGCTTTATCAGGAATAAATCTTTTTACCATTACCTGCAGCTGGGCTAACCATTTAATTTCTTATCTGTCCAATAATACCCAAGAATGTTCAAGATACTTATAACTGGTGCTTACCACTTGAACACTGACTTACACATTGCAGGGAACAGGACTTATAGCCAGAAGCTTTCTCGAGATAAGTACCGTCAAACCGGTTTATTACTGAATTGGAATGAGACTAAAGCAGGGATCTGTATGAAAGACTCTGGATATTAGGAGAAGAATCACCCAACCTATTCATCAAAAGTGAACACCTCATACACCTTGCAACTTCTGACAATTATCGTAACACTAACTGGACAATCATCACGTCACAACACTTTTTCTGGGAATAACAATCCCAACATCCTACTAGATTAGTATGCGAATGACTTCTTATGGAAAACAGCAGGACTTAACATGTTATAACTCCATATACCATTTTTAATTTGATTCAGTTGCCTTCACCTGAGATTGAACTGATATCTTGTGATTTGATTTGTGAAGTGTTAACCATTATACTGTTAGCGTGAAAAAGATAATAAAGAAAATAAAGAGAAAATATATAGAAAGTATAATTTATATATCAGGTATAAAGTATATATCAGGTATAAAATGTATATCAGGTATAAAGTGTATATTGCAAATAAGATATTAGTAACAAGGATATAAGCAAAAAGGAAGGGCAATTAATATAGATACTGCGCAACTTTCTCCTTATTCGTCCTATTCTGTTGTTGGATATTTGCCCCATTACACAACCCCAACACACTATATTCGTAAGATTGCTACACCTGTTACAACCTCTTGTGACACTAGATCTATTGATAGATCTGTGTCATTATCTGACAGCTCAGATCAAATTCACACGCCTCTTTTGAAGAGAAAACCCACCCTATTGTTACATGGCATGAAGCAAATTCAAGCGACTGACTTGCTGGATTTTTACGCCAACAGTTTTGATGGTGACTGTGAAATCGAACACTATTAACTACACTCATTACCCTCCAATTTCTATGTGACAGACATAACATACAGACATACATGCATTTATAATATACAGTAGTATAGAAGCAAAATTTTATACGATAGTTGTTACCCCCCCTTCCGATCTACGATTTTATTTTATTTTTATTGTTGTTAATTTTTTTAGATAGATAATAATGGGAATATCCGGAGTAATAAGGGATGTTGTCTTAGGCACTTCAGATGAGTTAGAAAAATATGGACCCAGAGGAATGGACCAAGACATATTCAAGGCTTTGAAGAAAGTGGCGACAAGAAGAACACGGAAGGAAGCCCAACTGAGTCCAGAGGAGCGATTGTACGATGCCTATCCGGGATTAGAGATGTTAGTGATATTCTTATGCAAGTGTATTGGTGGGATATTGGTAGATACCCCGATCGGAAAAGCTTCTATGCCAGGGCCATTGGGAGAAGTGGAGCGAAGATGGAACAGCATCAAGCGCTGGATCGGTGGTGGTACAAAGAATCGACGGGATGCAATCTCTAATAAAAATAGGCCGCAACGTGTTTTGTCAGTGACCATTTTGTCTTTTAGAAATCATGATAAGTATCAGACGGAAGAATGGAACATGCTACCGGAAATGAACAGTAAGCTGAGAGTGTGTGGGCAGGAACAGTATTCCCTACGTTTGAGATCATCAAGGGAGTGATCGCAACGTAAAAGGGAGGAAAAAAAGAAATTAGCACCTGAACCAATCACATGTGCTGAAACAGTACTAACAAACAAAACACCTACTTTTAGCAGAAAGCCAATCCCGAGAAGTGCCAATTAGGACTCCTAACGATACCACTTTGATACCAGTTCGATACTTAAATTTACTATAAAAACATATGAGTAGGTCACAACCCATATATTAAATTTACTATAGATCAGTACCATTTCAATACCAGTTCGATACCAGTTTGGTACTTTTTTGGAACCCTAGTGCCAATACTAGCATACTGAGAAAAGAAGGTAAGATCCTACTGTCTAATTGCGACGAAAGAGAATTCGATGCCGAGGAAATGGAGAGGGATGAAAAAGAGATAATGCTAGAACCAGGAAAAACCACAGATGTGAAGAGAACATGTACCTTCAACAAGACGTCAGTCCTGAGGAACAGCAATATGGAGATGCCGAGAGACCATAAAGAGAATGCAACATGCGCGAATAGGGAAGGAAGCAAGAACGAATTAGTGCCCGAACCAACCACTTGCAACAAAACCAGTGAACTGAATGGTGCACTTACCTGTGGTGAGACACTGGCCCCGAAGAATAACAATACTGGGATGCTGAGCATTCGCAGACGAATTCTAACAACCAAATGCAACAAAGGGAGTCGTGATGTCAAGGAAATTCCAGACGAGACCCTAAAGAAAACAAAAGGAATTTGTTAAAGTGAATCTCAGGAAGGATCAACAAAGGGCACGACTATAAGATCAATTAGTAAGAAATTAAAACCTACTAGCGATAAGACACCAACAGCGAGTGGTGATGACATTGGAGCACCAAGCGATAGGATGGGAGAGGAGGCACCTGAAGTTAGTAAGAAGGACGTCAACACTATGGAAGCTATGGGAGAGTTGGGAACCTCAAACCAACCAGGAAAGTGCCATGAAAAGGAAGGAAGAAACGATCAACAAAAAGACGAGCCGCAAAATCCAGGGGACAAAGTAGTGTCAGTTACAAAGAATAACGATACTGGAATGCTGATAAGTACGAACGTGGGAACACCAAGAAAATGAAGATTCCTAGTCCCGCTATCTATTTAACCATCCTGGAGAAAGTACCGACGCTGGAAGAAGAAGAGAAGTCTGCCATTGGAGAATCAAAAATGGATATGGACAGCCTAACAGATAAAGAACAAGAAGAAGTAGTGAAACTCTTTGAGATGAAGAAAGAATTATTTGCAGGAAGTTTGAAGGAGCTTATTCTGATGTGATCCAGCACGAAATCGATACCGGAAACATGAAAACTATAAAGCAAGCCCCTACAGGATGGCACCCAACGAACATGATTATATAAGGGATGAACTTACAAAGATGAAGAAGCAGGAACTTGTCATAAAATCTAGAAGCCCATGGACTTCTCCGATCATAATAGTGTTGAAGAAGAACGGTAAGCGACGTCCATATATGAATTACAGAAAACTAAATGCAGTGACGAACAAGGATGCTTATTCCCTACCGAGAATTGATGACTTGATCAAAGCTCTTGGAAGAGCAACGTGATTTTCAAACCTCGATCTAGCCAGCGGATACTGGCAAGTCTGAGTTCACGAAAGGGATCGCAAAAAAAAAAAAAAAAAACAGCCTTCGTAACTAAATTTGAAACATATGAGTTCTAGGTGATACTGTTTGGGCTATGCAATGCTCTGGCTATGTTCCAAAGGTTGATGAACTGAGAGCTATAGAACTACATCAGAAAATTTGTAGCTGTCTATTTAGACGACATTATTGTATACTTGTTGACATTCCCGGAACATATCAGTTACTTGACCTGTATTTTTAAAGAGTTGAAACAGGCTTCGCTGAAGCTGAATGCAGAAAAATACAAGTTCTTCTTACCAGAGGTGGAATTTTTGGGCACAAGGTAGGAAGAGATAGCATCCAGCCAAACGAAAATAAAATCATAAAAGTGAGAAACTTCCTAGTCCCAGGAAGTGTGAGACAGTTGTGAAGCTTTATTGGTCTCGTCTCGTACTACAGGAAGTTTATTTATGGTTCGCTACAATCATCAAGCCCCTACATCAACTGTTGGAAATGAATGCAATATATGAGTAGGGAGACAAACAGCAAATGACATTTGAGTTACTAAAAACATACCTGACAACAGCTCCGATTTTGTGGTATCCAGATTTTGAGAGAACATTTTATTTATATACCGATGCATCTGGGACAGGACTGGAAGCAGTGTTGACGCAGATTGATGTGGCAAAAAGGGAATATGTGATCGCATACGCCAGCAGGAGTTTGTTGAAAACTGAGCAAAATTATGCAGCAACAGATCAGGAATGCTTAGCGGTAATATAAGGAGTTGAGTACTTTCACTATTATCTGGGTATGAAGCCATTCATAGTAGTTACCGACCACGCTGCATTAAGATGGCTAAAGAATTCAAAATTGAAAGGTAGGAAGGCACAATGGATCCTTCACCTCCAACCATATAACTATACAATACTACACTGTACTGGGAGAAAACATTCAAATGCCGATGCCCTATCATGTTTACCTAAGAAGAAAGGGGGAAGTAGTGCTAGCAATGGAAAATCCAATCATACTGAACAAACGAAAGATCTACTCTATCAATATAACAATTCAAATGACCTTATGGAAACAAAAGGAGAACTGGGAGTTGACATCCAAGATGATAAGGACGGAGTGGATGGTATTGACTAGTGACATCATGACCGAGAGTTGTGATAATCCAGGAGGATCTAGTAAAAAGGCAAATCGAGAGTTAGCCAGTGACAACCACATGAAGAATAGCAAGGGAGGAATGAAAAATAATAACCTTGCGGAGATAAGAGAACTAAGAACTGATTCCCAAAATGATGAAGACAAAGTAATGAGGGTACTGACCGCTGACACCACGATTGTAAGCTGTGATGGTTCAGGAGGATCGTGTAGAGGAGAAAATCAAGAATTAGTAATTGGTAATAAGAGGTACTGTAATGCAAATGGACTTATCAATGGGAGACCTGATACAAGTGGAGGTGGATTGGGATGTTACGAGAATGAAGAGACGATAACTGATGACTCTCCTGATAAGGGTAAAACGGAGGATGAAATGAAGAAAGGGATGGTGGTGATTAATGCAAGGAAATTATGAGCACCCGGGTACAAAAAATGGTAGTGATGGACAAATACACTCAAGGAGTTAATAATAGCATATGTAGATGTCATTGCAAAACTAATACACTGTACAATAATGATCATTGTCATGATGGTTCTGATAACCAATGAGACTGTTTCAAAATCTGAGTGTGCAGGAATAATGTGACATATTGGTAGCATTAGCAGTAAGGCCGGTTGGTGCACAGAAGAATGGAAGGAAAGAGAGTGCAAAAAGAAAACACAACGAAGATTACAACCGGCGAAGATACGTACCGATCACATCATTATTAAAACAAGCACAAAAAAGGGATGGTGGTGTAGCGAAAAAGTAAAAATCGCGATATGTGCCAAGGGTGATGATTGCTCATAGTACTCGCAAGCAAGGAGAGGAAAGAAAATTGTGAAAAAAAAAATGGAATAAATGGATGGGAAAGTGGAATAAAAAGGAAAATGAGATAGTGTTAGTTTAAGTATAGTTTAGGATTTATTCAACAATGACATTAGATTAGCTTACCATGTTTATTTTTACTTTTAATTTCTACTTCGATCAATTGATTATCAATTATTCCCTTATTTCTACCTGATTGATTGGTACCTTTACTTTTATTTTTTCTATTTTTGCTTTATTTTGAAAGAAGCGAAAAAAAAAAAAAAAATCAAAATCAAAATCAAAATCAAATTAAATCAAAAATCAAAAAATCAGAGAAAATTTTTGAGCAAAAAAGAATATTTTATTTTTATTTTTATTAGTATAGTAGTTCTTATTTTTGAAATTATACAAATAGTTGAAAATACC